ACTCCTTCAACACAGAATTGTGATTTTAACAGCATGTTGTCAAAGCGGATAATTATAAATACGTCCTTGGTAGTATAGTGGTGAGTATCTCCGCCTGTCACGCGGAAGACCGGGGTTCAATTCCCCGCCAGGGAGCAAAATTTTTAGAAACATTTTATACCGGAAAAACATACAACGACTGTTACAATAGGTTTCTTTGATTTAATGGAGTATTGTCATGCTTTACTAATTAAGTCTGGGGTTCAATCACTAGCCAGAGAGTTGCATTAAAAAAAAATATTATACCAACTAAGATGCAACGACTGTTTAAATCAATTTACTTACATACTCACTACTCGTCCTTGGTGGTTGTGAGTATCTCTGCCTGTCACGCGGAAGACTGGGCTCAATTCCCCACCATTGAGTCATATTTTTTTTAACTTTTTATACCAGCTAACATGCAACAACTGTTCTAATAAGTTTTATTTTTCGATTTAATGGAGTATTGTCAAGCTTTAGTAACTAAACCATCCATTTTGGCCAGTTGGACTCCTTTAACGCCACGTTGTCGAAGCGGATAAGTGCGTGACGTTGATAACTCGTCCTTGGTAGTATAGTGGTGAGTATCTCCGCCTGTCACGCGGAAGACCGGGGTTCAATTCCCCGCCAGGGAGTTAAACTTTTGAAAACCTTTTATACCAAAAAAAACATGCAACGACTGTGCTAATAGGTTTCTTCGATTTAATGGAGTATTGTCAAGCTTTAGTAACTAAACCTTCCATTTTGGCCAGTTGGACTCCTTTAAATGCACAATCATTATTTAAATGCACAATCCTTATTAAATGCACAATCCTTATACACATTCAAAAAAAATCATTAAGAACCACTATTTTTCTGAACTTCTAAACAATATATAGTTTAAAGTCTTTGATTTCAATTAGGGTGAATCTGACTCTGATATTTTGAAAATGTATATTTATTGTATTGTTTTCCTTATTGTTTTATTATTATTCTGTAATTTTTGTATACTCATTTAGGAACCACAGTGGAAATAAGTTGCTTTTTGTACTTTTGTGTGTTTTTATCCTTGAATGTTTTTACTTATAATTACTTCAGAATGAATAAATAAAAATAAATTAACGCCACGTTGTCGAAGCGGATAAGTGCATGTTGACAACGCGTTCTTAGTAGTAATAGTGGTGAGTATCTCCGCCTGTCACGCGGAAGACCGGGGTTCAATTCCCCGCCAGGGAGTTAAATTCTTAAAAACTTTTTATACCAAAAAACATGCAACGACTGTTCTAATAGGTTTCTTTGATTTAGTGGAGAAATTGTCATGCTTTAGTATAGTCATTCTTTTTGCCCAGCTAAATCCTTCAACACACTCATGAATTATGATTTTCAAAAGAACGTCGTCGAAGAAAATTAATAAAAGTGCCTGGTCACTACTCCTACTTGGTATTATAGTGGTGAGTATCTCCGCCTGTCACGCGAAAGACCGGGGTTCAATTCTTATCCAGGGAGTTACATTTTAAAAAAATTTATACCAATTAATTAAACGACTGTTTAAATCAATTTACTTCGATTTTACGGTACGTCGTCAAAGTCCATAATAAAGTACTATACATATTCACTACTCGTTCTTGGTTAGTATGATGGTCTCCGCCTGTCACGCGGAAGACCGGGCTCACTGATTCCCCACCATTGAGTCATATATTTTTTAACTTTTTATACCAGCTAACATGCAACGACTGTTCTAATAAGTTTTTTTTTCGATTTAATGGAGTATTGTCAAGCTTTAGTAATTCTAAACCACCCATTTTGGCCAGTTGGACTCCTTTAACGCCACGTTGTCGAAGCGGATAAGTGCGTGACATTGATAACTCGTCCTTGGTAGTATAGTGGTGAGTATCTCCGCCTGTCACGCGGAAGACCGGGGTTCAATTCCCCGCCAGGGAGTTAAATTTTTTAAACATTTTTATACCAAAAAACATGCAACGACTGTTCTAATAAGTTTCTTCGATTTAATGGAGTAGTGTCATGCTTTAGTAACTAAATCATTCATTTTGGTCAGCTAAAATCATCCAACACACTCATGAATTATGATTTTTTTAAAGGACTTCGTCGAAGAGGATAATAAAAGTGCATGGTCACTACTCCTCTTGGTAGTATACTGTACTGGTGATCAGGGTTCAATTTCTAGCCAGGGAGTTACATTTTTAAAAAAGGTATACCAACTAAGATGCAACGACTGTTTTAATCAATTTACTTCGATTTTACGGTACGTCATCGAAGTCCATAAGAAAGTACAGTTTTATACCAGCTAACATGCAACGACTGTTCTAATAAGTTTGCTTTTTTTTTCGATTTAATGGAGTATTGTCAAGCTTTAGTAACTAAACCACCCATTTTGGTCAGTTAAACTTCTTGAACACAGAATTATGATTTTTAACGGCACGTTGTCAGAGCGGATAATATAAGGGCGTGTTGACAACTCGTCCTTGGTAGTATAGTGGTGAGTATCTCCGCCTGTCAACCGGAAGACCGGGGTTCAATTCCCCACCAGGGAGTTAAATTTTGAAAACTTTTTACACTAACAAGCATGCAACGACTATTGTAATAGGTTTCTTCGATTAATTGGAGTATTGTCAAGCTTTAGTAACTAAACCATCC